TCATTTTAACATTTTGAAGTATTTTTGTTTAGAATTTCGACAAAAGTGATGACAACTTTTGACAAATACAAAAATAAATATAACCTAACTTCTTCTGAGATACTATGCAACCAGTAATACTGCGGTATAGCTGGCTGCCAAAGAGTCGTGCTTTCTGTAGTATTCAAAAATCAAACTACGTATATCAACTACAAAATTATCAAGAACCGAGCATGATTATTATATGTATGATATGACGCTTAATAAATAAATAGCCATATGTGCCCTGTCTCGATTTATCCATCCATGTGGTCCGCCTACGCGTTGTTACATTTAAGGACATCGCTGCAAATGGTCATGTTATATATTAAAAATTAAAACAGATTTGCATGGATATTTTTTAATCAACTTTGTTGATTTAGAAACTACCTGTTAAATACTTGATTTATCTAATACGCAAAATATGTAAACCTAAATATAAGCACGTGGTAGGTTTTCTCAGTCCTACATACATGATAAAAGTTGTTATGATGAAAATCGTATTATGAAAACAGCTATTAAAGGTAATGCGAATAAGCTGAGGATTTGTTCGTTGTCTAAAATGTTAGCTGTTTACAGCAACATCGTCTGATTAGGGTTTGTTTTGTGATGTTAGAACAAAAGCAAAGTTTTTCTTCCTTTGACCACGCAAAAAATATTTAGCTACAGTCAAAGAGTGAGGATTGAAGAAGATACAAACCCAAATTTTCATTTTAGTCAGAGTAAAAATCGTCCATATATCGAGAAAACTTATTCAAATTCAGAACAGTAATTTTTTCAAGCGGTGTAAGGCTTGTTCCACTTTTATCTAAGCTGTGACAATTGAGTCTGTCATTTCAAAAGCCACTTAGATACATTTTTTTTAGCATGAAAACTGAAAACGCTTCCTTTAAATGTAAAGAACATGTAGTTCTGTTTTCTGGCTATATACCTTGTAAGTTAAAACATTCCCTTTCTCTGTAAATAACACAGTGTAATACACGTTCATTGCAAAAACAACATAAGTCCGGGAGAAGTGGTATTTGCATGCATTACTCGACGACAGGTACTTGTACTACTCATTTCAAAAACATTAACAGATGATACTAGATTTGTTCTGTTTTCATATTTATGTGTTATATACACCAAAATACCAATATAAAAATACTCAAAATAGTACACAAAATCATACTTAAATATGTAAGTTTTGAGAGGGCACGACCCCTCTGTCCCTTCCTCCGCCTTTGCGGGCACCTATGACCTCAACATGCCACCTCTCAATGGGTTTGTTAAAGAATTCGCAACGAAGGCATATTCGGGCTGCGACTTATTCTGTGGCTGATGTTTGCAAACATAAACGGCCAAGGCTAACCTTGCAGTAATGCAAATATAGGTACAAATTTCTCCGCCACATTTTATGAATAGCTGTGCCATAATTTTGTACTAATCTGATCAGATTAACAGTGCCCTCCTTCTGTAAGGACCCTGTCATTTGGATGAGCGAGGAAAATACCCACGGCCACTTCAGCACACTACTATACAGGGTGTTTCAGTTTATTGTTGCATAACTTTAAGATTCGATACAACTTTTAAAATTAATGCATAAAGTCTATATAAACATGGGTCGAAAAATGCGTCGCTTCCGAAATACTTTACTTTCTAAAATAGTTTTTTTTAAAATATTTCGAACAATATTTGATGTATAACAGTGAAAATTGGTATACAAGGGTTTTTGGTACGACAAAACGAACCATGGGCATAGTTTTACTGTAGCTGCTAGAGGGCGCTCTCTACTGTACCTGTAGTGTATTAAAATAACCGAAAATTCTTTCTTCGTGCAATTTTTTGCTTTTTGAATAAAAAACTGATTCTTCGTACTTTTCAACATAAAAAGCTCTCCTGTGAGTTTTCGTTATAGTTAGCCGTTTTTGAGATATTTCGATTTTTAAGGTTCGATGCATTTTTAATTATTTATGGGAAAATAATATTTTTTTTACATTTTCGATTTGGGCATTACACGTAATTAAGATGATCGCTTAGATTGTGTTTTTAAACACAGCAATAATTCCTAACTCCAAATAAACACATAAAAACAGAATATTAATTTGTTTAATTTTCCAATATTATTTTAACAAATTAAATTAATTATTTACAACTAAAATGCTATTGGCTAGTTAGGCAAACATACAAAATCTAAAGTAGTTGCTCGAAATGTAAACCCAATTGTTCAATACACAATTCACATCTACGAATGATTGAACGTGGTATAGCAATATTCAAATAAGGCCTTATTTCATCACATGTATTCCTGATTCTGTCTATTAGCATATATCTTGTGGTTACGGGAGTCTGGTACACTTTTTCTTTTAGAAATCCCCACACAAAGAAATCTAATGGATTTAGGTCAGGGGATCGTGGAGTCCAGGCGACTGGTCCTCCACGGCCTTTCCATCTTTCTGGAAAATGAGCTGGACAACCATCAAGCTGGAACCAGACCAATCTTCTTAAATCTAACATAACATCATCCCACATATTTGCATGTTCAGCCTTTAAAAATTCCAAGAAGGTCGCAGCATTTAACCTTGCAGGCAAAAGGTAGGGTCCAAATAGTCGATTACGGTAGATACCAATCCACACGTTCACACTAAATTCATGCTGAAAATTTCTTTCCCAAGCTGCATGCGGATTTTCATGCGACCAAACATGTTGATTATGAAAATTTACCACTCCACGTCCAGTGAAGCATGACTCATCGGTCCATAAAACGTTACTTAAAAACTTAATAATCAGTTCTATCAAGAATCCACTGACAAAATGTGATTCTTCGGTCTCCGTCCCATGGCTGTAGTCCTTGCACAGGTTGCAAATGGTAAGGACGTCTATGGTCATTTCTAAGAACACGGTGAACATGACTTGCTGAAATTCCCAAGGCACCAGAAACTCTCCTAACACTTGTGGTCGGATCTCTATCAAACTCACGCAGAATCATACGGGTAAATCTGCGCTGACGAACATTTATGTTTTGATCCCTTTAGAGATTTCCAAAACCATTTTCAATTATTTGGCGATGCACTCTTACAAATACTGAGCGAGTTGGATGTCGTCTGTTTGGAAATCTTCGTGAGTTTCCATTTACAAAGCCATACACAAAATGAATATCCGCTAACTCTGATTGGAGAATACACACAGTACACACTACAGTAAAACTATGCCCATGGTTCGTTTTTGCCGTACCAAAAAACCCTTGTATACCAATTTTCACTGTTATACATCAAATATAGTTCGAAATATTTAAAAAAAAACTATTTTAGAAAGTAAATTTAAACACCCTGTATTTCGGAAGCCACGCATTTTTCGACCCATGTTTATATAGACTTTATGCATTAATTTTAAAAGTTCTATCGAATCTTAAAGTTATGCAACAATAAACTGAAACACCCTGTATAAGGCCAAAAAGTACTTAAATTGATTAATTTGTCACTGATGCAGCTTTTATTGTTTTCTAAATAATTCAAATTGTGTGACGCGAGATTTTTTTTGCAATAACCGATACAATCATAAAAAACAAATCCTAAGTGTACCAAGCTCGTGAGCGCAAAATTATAAAACAACGCAACGTTACTGATGTGCTTTGGAATACTACGTACTATAGAAGTCTGAAATTTGTGCGCATAAAATTATCCAATTAAAAAAAGCACCGAAAAAAGCGACATAATTAATTGATTTGGGATTAGATCGTCCCCCACACATTTTGATCCAGTCACTGGTCAGACTGCATAAAGGGGCTACACCCAGGTAATTAAAAAATAACAATAAACAATGTGCTAATTCGTGATGGACAGAGATTGTTCATAGTCGTTACACGTTTATATTTTTACAGCATCTCTCTCTCTCCATATATCCTACTGATTCGATACAGGCCACAAATCCTTCTTTTAAATTGGTCGAGTAGAAAAAAGGGCCTAAATGTCACGCGCGAAGGCCTATTCTCAGTAAAATCTGTTCTTGAACGTTCCATTGATCCCAACTTAAAACTGGCAAAAGATTCGTGACCTGCGCACCCGAGTTACCCACGATAAACATACACTGAAGATAGGATATCGCGTATGTGGGCGGAGCTTCGTGACGTCACCCGGAGAGTTGTCGGCTCGTGGTTACCAGCGGCAGGATTGTCGTAGCGTACTGCAGTTCACGTTATCGTGGTTCATACTATATAGTGCGATTTGTTGGTGATTTTTGGCTACATCATACAAAAAGAAAGATCAAAGTCAATGTAAAAAGCGCTAGAGTTTGCTCTAAGCACGTGAAAGTGCCTATAAGGTCAATTTGAAACATACCCTTTGGGTTACACCCCTAAAAGATATCGTGCTCTAAAAGATGATGCCATTCCTATGGAAAATTTACCCAATTCTCTAGAATGACCTGGACCATCTACATCTGTTGATGGGGAAAAGCAGAAAGTAAAGTGCTTACGAACAAAGGCAAAGGGCTCAACTTCTCCCCTAGAGTTTAAGTACATACTCAGAGTATTGGCAGCGTAGAGGAAGATGATACTCCGAACATTCCACTAACCGAATCATCAACGAATAAACTGAATGCACCTGAAGTATCAGCTGACTATAACAAGGAGTTTTAGTGGAAGAAATGGATGAGCTCGAGTATGATGGGCTGAAAAATTTGGCCGGCTTTGTTTGCCATAAATTGCAGGATGAGTGCAGTATTAACGTCATGAGCATGTTAATCCTGCTCCACAGAACAGTCAAAGAATAGTCCAAAAAAATCATTCACTGAATGTTTGTCCTATGCTTGAAAATATATAGGAATAATCGACTTTCACTTGCTGTTAAATAGTAAGCAAAAAATAAGCAAACTTTCTGTTCAGTTACAAAAAAATATCCATCTGTATGCCGAAAGACCCCTTCAAGTTTCCGTGATCCACGTCAATGTGCCGACAATGACGCGTCGTCAAGCCTACTTTGATTTGCGATTTTCACGTCCGCCCACACCTATACACCTATATATACAACTTGTTTACCAGTTTACCGCCACAGTTTAAACACAAACACTAACGAACGCGAGAAAAAAAACGATTCTTTCAATTCGAACGAAATTCTAAGTGAGCAAAAATGAGTCTGGTTCCGTACAACCGATATTCCTGGGACGATGATTTCTTCAGGTCTCAGCGTGCCTTGGAAAGGAAGCTCTTCGACGATTATCTGCCGCCTTTTGATCTGGATATGTGGAGCGACAAATGGTGGTGGAACAGTCGCATTGGGGATCAAATCAAGCACGTCAATAACTTCATGAACAGCTCTTTGATTGGTACTCATGAACTTGGATCGTCAACTCTCAGGTAGTAAAACATGTGTGCTGCAAGCTTATTATTTGATATTCTTTTTTACTTTTTTCTGCCATCAAAGGCAATATGAAGACACAAGGGCCTACCCAGCTCAAAACAACAAATTTTTTGTGGAAGCTCGACAAATCAAGTACGTAACTATGCTTGATATTTTTTTTCTATTTGCATTTCACTTGTATAAAGTCTTCCACAAGGTTTCCAATTCATATGGATATGAAAAACTACCAGGATTACTTTTTGAAACATTCAAGCCAAATGTGAGCCCTGTTGTAAAAGAAATTTTACGGAGGGAATTATATTATATTCTTTAGTATTCTTCAGTGAAGGCAAAGGCCTCATCCCAAAATAAAAAATTCTGGGTAACTTTTTTGTCAAACTTCAAAGTTGTAAGTCTATAGAAAAATTGGAAAATGATTGAAAATACCTTCAAAATAGGTACGTTCAGTTCGTTGCAACAGTCAATTTGTTATTGCAAAAAACGGTTATTCAGCAACGTGACTGCTGCAACAAATTAGACATACAGATGAGTTTTCAGTATCAATGTGGACTATACGCCTCCTATTGAAATATACCACTCCCTAAAGGGTGTTTCATACCGACATGACATCAAAAACGATTTTTTTTAAATGAAAAAAACTACTTTAGCGCATATCGCAAATATTACATTTCTTATTTTAAAATGAAAGATTAAGATGTGACTTGCACGAAAATATCATTTTTTCTTTAAGGAACCCTCTGCTTGCTATTTTATAGAACTTCAAAGTTGCATTTTGTGTGGTAATACTGTGATGTAGAATACTGCTTTATAAGCTGTTTTTTCTTGTTTATACAAAGATTGCTCAAAATTATATAAATATAACATACAATGTAAATCACTGTGACACTGTTCATCGAAATAATGCAGTTTGCATTATTTTAATGATGAAAATAGTGCATTGTTAAGTAGTAATTTCTCTTATTTCAGATGAATATTCCCACCACTACACCATCATCCACCACCATCACTACTATCCTACTCTCTCCATCTAGTTGCTATGTTGCCAAATCATAGATAATTATATACCCTAATTTGGTTTGTCAAATTCTTAGTTATATACTAGCGCAAAAATGTGCAATCGGCACAGGATTGTCATGAAATTGAGGTTTGGAGGTGTGGCCGACAGGTTTTACTGTACTAAATCCACCCTCTGCCATATGATAGCATTAGCTAAAGATACTTTTTAGAAGAATGCCTTATGCCCTTCACAAAAGTACTTCGGTTATTGTTTTCCTATATTATAGTTGTGATAAATGTGATATACAGGGTTATCCAAATTAAGTGTCCACCATTAGTAACTTTGTTATTAGTGAAAATACAAAGTTGTTTGAATTAGCAAACTAGTAGCATTTTTAACGCTGGTAAAAATGAGAAAAAAAAAAAACAATTGAGTCGTTATTTTTTTTTTCAGTAAAATAACATTTTTTTAAATGGAAACCCCTGTATATTATATTTTTTTCTGTTAAAGCATCAAATTTTAAACAAAAAAGCTTACAATAACTTTTCTCCTAGGTTACAAATTGTTGAAGTTATGGCCTCCAATCTGAAACAATTAAATTGTATCGACAAACTTTATTTTCAACATCAACTTATAATCTTACAAAATACAATAACAATTTTTTTTAAAGAAGATGCTCGAAAACACCACCTTGTTCTTCAATACATTTTTGGGCACGTTTTTCAACTGCTCGAACTGTCTTAAGTATGGTCCTACCATCTATCTGGGTTATCTTTTCCCTAACTGCAGTCTTTAACGCGTCAAGGTTATCGTACCTTCGCTTGTAAATTTGGTTCTTTAAGTAACCCCACAAGAAGTAATCAAGTGGGTTTAGATCTGGTGATCTGGGAGGCCACTGTATTGGGCCATTTGTTCCTATCCACTGATCATTAAAAGTAGTACTTAGAAAATGATAAGTACCTCTGGAGTTGTGGGCAGGTGCGCCATCTTGCTGAAAATGCAGATGATGTCTACTTATAAGATCCAATTCGTCTAAGAAATTAGTCAGAATTTCTGACATAAATTCCACATATCTTTCACCAGTTAGGGTTCCCTCATAAAAGAACGGGCCAACAATTTTTGAACCAATTATACCGCACCAAACGTTGAAACTGAAACGGACTTGTGGGCCTCTTGGATGTACTAACAAAAGATTTTCTCTTGACCAATAATGGTGGTTTTTTCTATTAAACATTCCAGAATTTGAAAAATTTGATTCATCTGTCCATAAAAGGTAACGAAAGTTATTTACATTTTGGCGACAGAAGCTAAGATGACCAATGGCAAAAAACAAGTCTTCTCTCTGGATCCCCTGCCAAAAGCGTTTGAACTGGTCGGTACTTATACGGAATAAATTTGTATTTTTTTAAAATCCTTTGAACACCATAACTGAAATTAGAGTCCTTGAGAATATCTGCTATTGAATTCTCACGATAAGCTTCAAAATATCCAATAACTGCAATTTCCGTGGCCTCGCTTATTATGAATTCTTTTTTTGCCCTTGTTTTAGCAAAAACATTTTCGTTGCCCCTAAATTTTCGATAAAGTCTCAGAAAATATCGTTCATACGGTTGAATGCGAGCGGGATATAATTCACTTTTCTTCATGGGAGAACATTTTTCTTTAAATTAATGACACAATAAAGCTTATAAACAAGTATTTACACTAATGTTTGACATTATTTGATTTCATCATTGTTTTCCAAAGCCTTCTAGTTGCGAGTATGTCCAGTTTAACAATTTGTCGCTTATCTTAATGCTGTCAAATCTCGAACGCCATGTTGTTTTCATAGCCGTCTTAATATTATAATACTGCAAATAATTAAAAATATTTATCGTTATTTTGACTTTATTTTGACTTTAGCGGAAAAGTCATTATGAACTTTTTTGTTTAAAATTTGATGCTTTAACAGAAAAAAATATAATATACAGGGGTTTCCATTTAAAAAATGTTATTTTACTGAAAAAAATCAAAATAACGACTCTCAATTGTTTTTTTTATTTCTCATTTTTACCAGCGTTGCTAATTCAAACAACTTTGTATTTTCACTAATAACAAAGTTACTAATGGTGGACACTTAATTTGGATAACCCTGTATATGAGAAATTACTGAAAAAGTAGCTGATGCCAATAACTAAATAATGAAAACATAACAAAGAACATTGTAAGTTTTTGATGATTTGATGAAATGATCGTTTTTCTTTATTTAACTATAATGCTGGTCGAAAATATATGTTGGGTGGACCTAGCGAGGTGGTCTAAATCGATGAATCGAAGTTGGGTTTTTTTATATACAATGACTGCTGGTGCCTTTTCTATTTTCTATTTCATGCGAGTCGCTGGTATATTTTCCACTGTTTAGACACATACTGTTCAAAATTTCGTCTAGTTTTCGGTAAATATTGGGTCAACTTCTCATAAACAAGCCATTTACAATAAATTTATTTTTATTTTGCAAATAACCTCATTTTTATCACGTATTTCTCTCAAAAAAGGTACAACTTGCCAACAATGGACATCATTTATCTTATCTCTCAAGAAATGACCGTTATAAAATGGCCATTCAGAATTGTTTGTACCTTCAAATATTCCTATATAAACGCAAAAACTTTAATCTCATTGAAAATATACGAATAAAAAAATGGTTAAGGAATTTCAAGAATCTAATCTAATCTTTCATTTTAAAGTAAGAAATGAACTATTTGCGATATGCGCTAAAGTCTAGTTTTACCCCGGATATCTTTCAGAATAGTCTAACATCCCATTTCAAAGGGAGAAGTTTTGATATAGTCGCGGGTATAGCATATTTTGCTAATTCAGGAAATAATTTCTCTTTGAGATATTTATTCGTTGTTTTCCTACAATTAGGTACTTGAATAATTTTCGTCATGTAGCCGAAAATGGTTTTATAGAATATATAGTTTATTCTACAATGATTTAAAAAACGATGCGTGTGCGAAGGTCCTAACAGAGACGAAAGCCTGTCAAAATATGGCGTCAAGTAGATTGACTCTATACCCCCACGTCTTCGAAACAACTTCTAGTATAATTTTCCATATATTGCAGTGGTATCAATAAGACGTGGATTTTGTTAGAAACATAAGGTAGACTATTTGGGATTTTCTGGAAAAAAATACCCTCAGCCTGCAGCAGTGACCGTGGTTGTACACGGTAGCTTTATTTCTTTGGAGCTTTGATGTAAAACTGTTTGTCAACAATGTTTGATACTTCGCGAAATCAAGTAAACTCATTAAATTACACTACCTGCATAATCTACATGATAATATCGCGCCCACCTCATATTTGCATCATCGCGCCATCTGCTACCTGCTTTTATAAGTCCCTCGGCACGAGTATCATGTAAAAAACCTATAAAACGTCAAAAAAACCTATATCTCTCTCATTTTTGAAATTCAGCAAATTTGAGACAAGAACCCAGTGTACTTATCATCAACACATCTAACTTACAGTTTAGACCTCCAGTAATGCCATCTCAGAAGCAGAGCCAAAGATTGATAACAAGCCTCATGACGTTTAGGCAACACGTACAACTAAGTGCTAAGTTAACATCTTGTAGAAAAACCTACATAATGTCAAAAAAGTCGGCATGCCACTTTTCAAGATACGTGATTTTCAAAAACATGTCATATAACATTCAAATATAACATGTAATTAATATGAGAATGCACGTTTTTTAGAAATCATAAACTTCTGGTTGGATCTTTAAGATTTGAACGCCCAGAGAATATTTACATCCGCTCTTAAAACATTTTTTCCAGGGCTCACAATACTCTGCCGATGCTGTTTTTGGCTTATCAAAAATTTCTGGAGCACATTATTCGAATCGTTGTACCTGCCCTCCTGGGAACAATACTGCGGGCGCCCATGGTAATTGCGAATATACTTGTTAAATAGATCAAAGGGACCGACAGTCACTGTCGCACCTGCATGTGTGACATATATGAACATAAGGCCAGAATTACCTCATTTTTAAATACAGGCTGTAAAACTTTCACAGAAAATTCTTTTTTCGCTAGAAATTAAGCTAAAATCATTTAAGAAAAAAACTTTATTATAACCACAAAATAACGTGGCCATCTAGATAGCTAAATTTAAATCTATTTATTGTTATTTCCCAGAAGCTGTGGGGTTTAGTAATGCGTTTTTCTTATTTGATATTACCTACAGTTTCGACAATACCTATATTAATAAGTATTATTTTCGCATAATAATCCAAGAATCGTTACGTCTTAAGTAGTGGGCGCTAGCTTTGGTGTCCAATCTTTCTGTTC